GCTGGTATAGTATCCTGATATTGTGGTTTTGCCCTTGTCCAACGCGGAATAACGCCATGACGAACGATGTTGTTCCACTTCTCCAAGGTCTCGGTCATGTCGTGATGCAGAACCGGTCTGAGCTCGTAGAGGTCTTTGTTGGGGCGTGGGTCACTTCTCGTTTCTCCACGAAAGAGTCGAACGGTGTCAGGCAGTGATATGCGATTGAGTTTTGATATCTCGGAAAGGAATCGTACATGGGAATAGTCGATATTGTCTCGCATGGTTGTATGCACAGCAGGTAGTTGAATATTAAATTTGCATGCCGTAGTTTTCCAATGCTGACGAACTGTAGCAGCACTTGCATTGCCTGTTTTGTTGAGTGTATCCATGAAGCAGTCGTAACGAGTTTGCTCTGCTTGATTCTGCTGCGACTTCATGCCAGTGACTTCATCTGCTATATGTGTTTCTGGCCGAGATTTCCGACTTCATAAGTCCTTGCATTGTTCCGACAAGCCTTTCCAGCGCTGTAAAAGGACCGCCTTGGTTTTATCTGATAAGGATGCCGGTTTGAAGTGAGCACGCGCACAATCTGTAACGCTGCAGCCAGCCTTGGACACATACCGGAGGCAATGTTGGCAGCCATCGTCGCCCTTTGGGAGTAATTCAATAACGCTGATGCGGGATTTTTTCCTTGCCGTGCTGTCGAGAATCGGGCTTCTTGCCAGATCCACCGCGGTGAGAGCCATAAACAGTGGTCGTCAACTTCCACGATGAGTGGGCTTCTTTTAGGGCGCCTAATTTCTCGTCGTTGCGGCTGAATTCTTTTCGAATCCGAAGTGCCGAGCGAAGACCCTTCGTCACTAGTCGGCTACGAAACTTACTGAATTTGGTATTAACTCAGTGCACGACCAGTCGAGCCATCGTTGAGGCGCTGTCCGCGTAGGAAATGAAGAAGTCACGTGTAGCACCTATAAACTTCCCCGGCGCCTTGTTGTAGAAGTATTTGACGAACCTGTAGAAGGAAGACAGCGCGTTGGTGAGATCCGCCACTTTTGTTACTCGTGGTGGGGCTGTCAAGGAATTTCTAGAGGAGAAATCCCACATATCCTCTCTACTTTCCGTTGCTGCCTCTTCGTCTGCTGTGAGAGCCCGCCGAAAATGCATGATCGAACCCACACCGAATCCAAAGCAATACCCACCACGAAGCACGGGAGGGGTGGCAAATCAACATACTCCGACTGCTGAACAGACTGGAGAAGCATTTGAGTGTCCTTACCTGCATGAAGCGGTTGCACAATAGCACCTTGTGGTCTGCGATCTGTTGGAGAAGGGTGGAAAACAACACCTCTGTTCTTCCTGTCCCATGAACAAGCTCTCTCGTCTTGATCTGAACTGATACCCTCGTCCGACCCTGTATCTTCGTGATTGACGCACCGCCGTTTGCCTAGTGGACGATGCAAATGTTGGATATCGTGAATGTTCTCGTCCTCTGACGAGCTCGACGACACCATGGCGCCGCTCTCGCTCGCGCTTCCATCCACCCTGGTCACCGGTTCACCGCCGTGGCCTGCACCGCTAGATCTGAATGGTTGACTGGGAGGAAGGGCTCCTGCTCGTGGCCTCTTAGCAGCTGAGGGTAGAGGAGCCTCTTGAGCCACGTACAAATCAACTGGTCGTTCACTACGAGCTGCGGTTCTATAGTCAACGATATGTCGACGGGTAACTCGAACTAACTGAAGTGTAGACGGTCGAATTAATAGTAGCACATCGTCCCCGTTGAATGGTACAGATGTAGAATCAGTGATCGCTCTGGGAAGACCGGATCGTCGACGGTGGCATGCCGCAATGATCTTGTTTTGCTGAGCCAGGAGCTCAGTGGGGGTAACAGCGGTAGTGTTGACGCCCGCACCTGTCTGGAGAGCGTAGTTGAGTACGTCGACCTTGATTATCTTTGTTGCCGTGTCGAGACGTAGCCGAGCGAGTCCGTGGGGCATACTATATGCAATTTTGCAGAGTGATCCGACGTGTCGTATCCCGACACAACCCCGTAGGTCCATACATCGATACCTTCTGTCTATGTACGAGGGAAGGCGACTGGATGAGCTAGCAATAAGCCTGGCCACAGTTCTCGCTCGCTCGGTGATACCACTCTATGCTGAAGTGTTTCAACAGATATAGACAGCACAGTTCCTTCCGAGGCCTCTGCTTCGTCAGGATCAACCACCTTGACCGTTGCGGTTGTGGCGGCGATAGTGACAATCTCAACGTACTGAAACTCGGATAGCTGGGTGATATGACTGGGGCCAACAAACGCGATGTCGC